TGTCAGAACTGGATTGTCACTGTCTTTCCTTAGATGAATCTTACCGTATCTAGTCCAAATAAACTTGAAACTGTGTTGCTTCTTTGCCTTGATGCACTTGTTAAACAGATCTCTATTTTTCTTTGTTAAACTTTCAGAGATGTAGATTGGTTGTTCCCGTTGTCCAGAAAATCCAATATCTATTGTTGACTTGTGTTTGAGTTTTTTTCTTGCATTGTAGAAGTTATCACGGTCAGACCTTTTTGTGAGTTTAACTATTATTGCTGGATCTCTCACAATTTGGACACAATCTTTACGGGTTGATACACCATCATGAAGACGGTTACTGACAGAGATATCATCATCTGCTAGTTCAGTAACCCCGACTTTTTGCAGTCAGTCGTGTCTTCATCTTGTAAGTAAGGAATTCCACGGATCTCAAGGCAATCTCTCCTCGAGTACTGTTCCAGGTCGTTTACTTCCGACTCTACATTGGTGGTGTCGCTGTTGGACTGTAAAACTTGAGATTTGAGTCGATGGTTTTCTCCTTTAAGCTCTTTTACCTCTTTTTCCAAAGAAGCTCATCGTAACTTGTACAAAGGTAGCTGACCGTAGTTTGAAACTCATCTAGCTTGGCTAATTTAGCTGATAGAGACTCTATCTTTGAAAGTGGGCTGTCGGTTGAGCTCATATTGGTAAGTAATAGAAAAATAAAACAGGAAAAAGTAGATACGTGAAAAAGGCGATATTTAGGTTTGACTCAAGAGAGCAGATAATAGAGCGGCCATCTTGCTCTGACCCAGTCCCTTCACACACTACGAGAGGTGATCTACCAAGGATGGCCAAGCAAGAGGAGCGAATGTCCCAAAGTGTTACACGACTATTGGAACTTCCGCGAGGAGTTAACCATCGAAGATGGCGTAATCCTAAAGCAAGAACGTATGGTCTTGCCATCTACACTCAGACGGGAAATGCTCAATACCATCCACAAAGGACACCTGGGCCAAGAGAAGTGTCTTCTCCGAGCGAGATCATCCGTATTTTGACCAGGGATCACGAATGTTATCACTGAAGTTGCCCAAAGATGCAGCACCTGCCAGAAATATCAAAGCAAACAGCAAAAGCAGGAGATACTTCAGCCAGAACCTCCTTGTTATCCATGGCAGATCCTCAGCTCCGACCTGTTTGAATTCAAGGGGAACCAGTACCTCCTACTATCAGATAAATACAGCAAATTCCCCATCATCACAAAGCTGACCAGCACCACTTCCCATGCGATTATCAACCACCTTAAAAGCATCTTCGCCGAGCATGGGATCCCAGCCCAACTCGTAAGGGACGATGGGCCGCAATACGAATCAAAGAAGTTCCAGAACTTTATGAGTACATACGGTGTGGAACATATCACTAGCTCCCCACTGTACCCACACAGTCCAATGGGTCCTCAGAACGCTTGGTCCAAACCGTAAAGAATATCCTCAAGAAATGCGATGAAGATCCCTACCCCGAACTGTTGGCATATCGGACAACGCCTGTCAGCCACAACCTGAAGTCGCCATCAGAGCTGCTCAACGGCCGCAAGCTCAGGACCACGCTACCAATGTCTAAACGATCTAGCGTGAGCACAGCCACGAGTGCCACAAAAGAAGAGCTGTAACAGCGACAAAAGTTGCAAGCCTTCTACTACAACCGCACTGCTGGGCCAACGTTGAAGCCTCTGGAAAAGGGTCAACCTGTGAACATCTATGACCACCACAGCAAGAGATGGGAACCAGGAACAGTTTGTCAAGCCCGCAAGAGCCGAGATCATACATTGTTCAGAGCAATAGAACAGAAGCTGTCTACCGACACACAAGGACTCAGCTGAAGCCAAGCTGCCCTCCGGTGGGTGATACCAGAGCACCACTACAACCTGCAGCTGTAGCACCAAGAGACAGCCCACCTGCAGCACCCAAGCATGTGCAACCATATGTGACAAGATCTGGGAGGAATTCAAAGCCACCAAGCAGACTGGACATTTGAACTGTGCGAACAATGAACTATGTTTACAGTTGCTAAGAGAATGGAATCACCTCGAGGAAGATGTTATGACGGCCAATCAGCCCATATTGTTATTGTAGTAGTTGTTTGGTTGTTAATAGGGCCTTTGCAGTTAACGGTCACGTGTCTGTACTGGAATGCAAAATTTGTGTTTTTCTTTTAAATTGGTGATTCCTTTTAGCTACTTGTAAAGAACTGAGTGCAAACATGTGTATCCAGTGTGTTACGAAATGTAGTTTTATTACGATCTCTCGAAACAGGTTGTAGAAAGTTTGTTTGCAGTCCAGTCAATTTCACTCTTGGGAATCAAAATGTTCATTCATTTGCTCTCAGTGAATTAATCAGCACGTGATTGCTTAGCTGCAAAGGGCCTATTAGAACTGAGTAGAACATACGAGAACATTCTACTTGAGTTATGTTAGAGAAAACGTCTAGAACCCTCTAGAAGCTTCAATGCTTAGTCATTGTGAGTTAGTACATTTACAAAGGACATTCTGGAATGATGTAATAATTATATTTAGAAATATTGTAATGTCTATAATTAGAAATAAGTTAGGTATATAAGGAGAACAGCCAAAGCTGCGAGTTTAGCCTTCGTAAAGTCAGTCTTCATTTAGTATATTGTCTGCAGTCTTGATATCTGGTAAAAGAGCTCTATTATAGAAGATGAGGAAGAAGAACAAGGGACAAGAACTAAAAAGCTCTGGAGGCAAGCTATTGAAGTGTTTGTAGTAATTAGGTCAGGTTAGTTTAGACTAGGTTAGATTTTGTCTAATTTAATCATATTTTTGTATCAAACCTTAGTTTTGGTGTTATTAAAACACATGTGACGACAATTCACTGTGTCTTATGCGTTTCCTTGCAATTTGTGCGTAACAAAGAGCACGGTGTCCTGTACCATACTATACAACAAGGTGGCCATCAAGTGAAGCAGTTCATTCTCCCAAGACAACTGCCTGGTCAAGTATTAAAGTCGATTCATGATGCTCTTGGTCACCAAGCGATAGAAAAGACAACACTACTGGCGAGAAGCAGATGTTTTTGGCCGGGTATGTCAGCTGAGATTGCAGATTACTGTCAAACGTGTGAGCGATGTACTCTGAGCAAAGCTGGGAAGCACCTCCACCCAACCATGGGAAACTTGATAGCAAAGAGGCCACTTGAGGTTCTGGCTATGGACTTTATGTGTTAGAGCGGAGCAGCAGTGGTATGGAGAATGTGCTAGTACTCACAGATGCTTTCACTAAGTTTACCCAAACAGTTACGATCAAGGACAAGAAGGCAGTTACAGTAGCTAAGGCACTTGTRAAAGATTGGTTTGTGAGGTTTGGCGCACTAAAAAGGCTCCACAGCGACCAAGGTCGCAATTTCGAAGGTAAATCCATAGAAGAACTGTGTAAAGTCTATGGTATGGTAAAGAGTCGCACAGCACCGTACCACCTGCAAGGGAACAGGCAATGCGAGCGAAAGAACCAGACTATGCATGATAGATTGCGTACCTTGGATGCTGCTAAGAAGAAGTAGTGGCCAGTAGATATGAAATGGGGGTTCTGCATCAGGTCATGCGGCTTCATTGCGGAGAAGCGATTACATCCGGATTTTCCATGCGGTCGCCTTCGGATCTTGGATTTCGGATTCACAGGGGTTTTGAGATCATCTTCTATTTTTAGATTGATAGAGGGTGACGTCATTTTATATTCGTTTGGAGATCTCGGAGAGTATAAAGGGGTTGGTTTTCTTAGCTGTTTTTCAGTTATTTTTTATATGTGCCTGCTGATGGTACTACTCACTATCATACCTCCGATTTATTGTCTTGTGCGAGATACTTTTTACTGTCCCTTGTGGTATTATACACGAAGAAGTTGACGGTCACTATTTACATCAAGACGTCAAGTACCATGATTCGAAGTATATGGTGTGTCGACAATGCGGTGGTTATGATTGTCACTGATGAGGTAGAGATGGTAGCACACGCCAAACTCCGAAAAGTACTAGAATTTTTGTACATGGAAATATGCCGAAAAGAGATGATGAAGAAGCTGACAGGAGATTGTGAAGGATGTGAGAATGATTACCCAAGTCAATGGGACCATACCTGCTGAATGACTAGCGATCATGATCAATGGACCTTTTTCTTTGATGACACCAAGCATATCAATATTGATATGATGCGAGACTTGTGTGAGGAGTTTGTTAAATTTTTAGGCATACCTATGGTCGATGAATGGGATGCTTTTACGCTGAACCTGCCAAGTATGGACTCTAGTTTGCAGAAATGATAGCGAGCGATATGGCATTCCCTGATAGCCAACATGATAGAATAATAGTGGATTTTGTAAATGACATGTGTGATCATCAGAAAAAATCTGTTAACATTTGGTCAACTACGATTTCAAGCTCACGCCCCCTCATGTGAGCCCATACAAATTATGTCTCAAAAATACGGTTTTTGGATCTTTTCTCAAAATAATGACTATCAGTGGCCACACCTACGAGACGTCCCTTTCCCAGAAGTTGATAGGAAGAAAATATCAATCTTGATCGGCACCAACGTTGGTGAAGCCTTCATACCATTGGAGGTTAGAAGAGGAAAGTCAAATGCACCAATCGCCATAAGATCCAGCTTAGGATGGAGCATCCTTGGTGGTGCTGCCAAGGAGTCGACTAAGCAACGCGCAAACTCGAACTTTGTTGCCGGTGAAGACCTCCAGCTCAGTCGCCAACTAGAAGAATTCTGGAAGGTAGAATCATACGGTACCAACAACCTCAAGACAGGACCGGTCTCCGTGGAGGACCAGCAGGCGCTGAAGCGAATCGACAGTACGATCACAAAGAACGGCGATCATTATCAGATGGGTCTATTGTGGAAGGATGAGAACATTTCACTACCGTACAACTGAAAGCTTGCGGAAGCGAGACTGCAACATCTAAGGAAACGTTTTCGTCGTGATCCTGAACTAGAGTCGAAGTACAGAACTGCGATGAAAGAATACCTGATTAAGGGGTACGCTAGAAAGTTGACGGATGAGGAAGCCGCTAAACGCAGCAACGTGACGTGGTATCTCCCACATCATCCGGTCTTGAATCCCAACAAGCCCAATAAGGTTAGGATCGTCTTTGATGCTGCCGCCAAGTTCGCTGGAGTATCATTGAACGACTGTCTACTGCAAGGTCCGTGTCTCACCAATGATCTCTCCGGGGTGCTAATAAGATTCCGACAACACGAAGCTGCATTCACCGCGGACATAGAGGGCATGTTCAATCAAGTAGAGGTTACTCCAGAAGACACGGATGCGTTGAGGTTCTTGTGGTGGCCCGGAAGTACTGATGATCCGCCCCAGAAATACCAAATGCTGGTACACATCTTTGGCGCCAAATCGTCACCATGTTGTGCTAATAAGGCTCTGAAGATGACAGCTGAAGACAACAAACAGGGATACGACCCACAATTTATTGAAAGCGTGCATAGTAACTTTTATGTAGACGATGTCCTGAAATCCACTCCAACAACAGAGGAAGCTGTGCACATTGCGACAGAACTAGTTAAGATGCTAAGAGAAGGAGGATTTCGTCTAACGAAATTCGCCAGCAACCGTCGAGAGGTTCTAGCCGCACTCCCACAAGAAAGCAGAGTCAACCCAACGATGGATCTGGACTTGGATCAGCTACCTATTCAACGCACATTAGGCATCTCCTGGGACGCACAAACTGGCACCTTCCAGTTTAAGGTCATCCCTACCGAAAAGCCACTAACCAAGAGAGGAATCCTCAGTGTTGTCAGCTCGTTATTTGACCCMCTAGGATTCGTGGCCCCGTACGTCCTACCGGTGAAAATACTTCTGCAAGACCTTTGGAGAAAAGAGTTTCTTTGGGATCAGGAAGTTCCGGAACCTTATCTCACGCTATGGCGAAGGTGGCTGCAGTCCTTGCCGTACATCGTGCAGATCCGTATCCCAAGGTGTTACAAAACCGCTGGCCTCGGCAAGATAACAACTTTGCAGTTGCATCACTTTTCTGATGCTTCCAGGAGAGGTTATGCTTCAGTGTCGTATCTGAGAATGGTAGATGAAGAAGGAAAAATAAACTGTGCCTTTGTCATGGGGAAAAGTCGAAACACCCCTCTGAAAGAATGGACAATACCAAGACTAGAGCTACAAGCGGCCATACTTGCAACACGTTTGAGCAAGTCAGTCCTCAGGGAATTGGAGGGGCCAGTAGATGACGCGCATTTCTGGTCGGATTCAATGACAACGTTACAGTACGTGCGAAACACAACCCGAAGATTCCATACCTTCGTGGCCAACCGTCTGACAGAGATCCACGAGAGTACGACTCCCGAACAGTGGCACTTTGTTCCCGGCAACTTAAACCCAGCCGATGAGGGATCGCGGGGAATGGATATCCAGTCCTTTTATCTGGGCTGCCGCTGGTGGCGTGGACCAGACTTTCTGTGGAAACACGAGGAGGAATGGCCAAAGGAAGAAATCGGTGAACTTGCAGCTGATGACAAGGAAATCAGAGTCGAAAAGAGCATCATGTCCACCTCAGAGTCCAGTGTAGAACAGATATTCCTGCGTTATTCGTCCTGGCCACGTTTGCTGAGAGTTATGGCATGGGTGCTTCGCTTCGTCAAGAGATTAAGGAAGGTAAAGAGTGATCATCAAGTATCAAAAACAATCACCCTGGCTGAGCTTCAAGAGGCGGGCCAAGAAAACTCGAGACTACCACAACGCCAAGTACTACAAGAAGAATACTCAGCTCTAGTGCAAGGCCGACAAGTCAAGGCTCAGAGTAAACTAGCTAACCTGAGTCCGACCCTCATTGACGGCATGATCCGCGTGGGAGGTAGGATTCACCGAGGACCGATTGCATTTGATGCTGCGCATCCGATCATACTTCCCCGAGAACACCCAGTGTCTAACCTGATCGTACACCATTACCACAGAGTTCTCAGCAATGCCGGTCGGGAGCATGTCCTATCTGTAATACATCAGAAGTATTGGATACTAGGAGCAAGATCTCTAGTTAAAAATGTCTCACGCAAATGTGTGACCTGCAGAAAACGGAGCGCAAATCCAATGAAGCAAAGAATGGGGGATCTGCCGAAGGAGAGGCTGGTGCCTTATCAGCCACCCTTCACTTACACAGGACTAGACTTCTTCGGGCCATTTAATGTAAAGCGTGGCCGTACTATGATGAAAGTATATGGATGTATCTTTGTCTGCTTCAATAGTCGAGCAATCCACATAGAAGATGTCAGTTCGCTCGAGACTGACGCGTTTATACAGGCCCTTCGCAGATTCATCGCGGTTCGTGGGTGTCCAAAGGAGATCTGGTCCGATAACGGGACCAACTTCACAGGAGCCGAAAAAGAACTCCGACGCTCCGTCAAGGAACTGAATACGGAAACCATTGAGAAGGAACTCCGCTCCAAGGAAGTAAAATGGTACAGTTGTCCTTTGCCGAAATGGCAGTTTCAGCMTCCTACAGCGAGCAACATGTCAGGGGTCTGGGAGAGACTCATCCGAAGCGTGCGCAAGGCTATGAAGGGCGTCCTAGGCGACCCAAACTCAACCATTGGTTGGGAAACGCTTCGCACGGTGTTTGCTGAAGTCACCGCCATCCTGAACAGCCGCCGACTTTGCCCTTGCAGTGACGATCCAAATGACGTCGAAGCACTTACACCAAACCATTTCTTACTACAGAAGAAGAATATTGTCGTCCCTCCAGGTGTATTCGGTAAGGAAGATCTTTACGGCCGTAGGCAGTGGAGACAAGCTCAGTTTCTGGCCGACTGCATCTCGACCAGATGGCTACGAGAATATGTCCCGACGCTGCAGCGACGACAGAAGTGGACCCTTGACCTGAGGAACCTCGCTGTGAACGACTTGGTGCTCCTCGCAGACAGTTCTCTACCAAGGACTCGTTGGCTTCTCGGAAGAGTTACAAGGATCTTCCCAGGTGAAGACAAACGTGTACGAGTTGCAGAAATCAAGACAAAGAGTTCCCTACTAGTTCGTCCTGTAAACAAGTTGTGTCTCGTGTTGGAAGCAGTGTGAAGAACTTTATCTTGGAGATAACCAAAAGAGACTTTATTTGAACACTAAGGACAGTTAGATGTAGTTTGTGTTTATTTGTTATGTTATAGATATAAGGTGAATTCAGCACCCCCCCCCCCCCCCCCCC